TATATATATATATATATATATATATATATATATATATTAAAATAAAGTAGAACACTCGAGTGCAGCAAAAGATTAATCTCCAACAGCGATGATTTTACAAAATTAATTCATTTGATACATTGATGTCAAATACATATCTTACTATTAGCTATTCACATTAAGAAAATACAAAGGAAAGAGAGCTATTTCTTTTATACGATGATCGATGATATAAAAATGCAAGAGATCTATTAACACGTATCGTTGTTAATTACCATCATTTATCCGCGTAGTAGGACCAGAAACAGATATACTGAACGCGGCAATAAACACATTGATGATAGTTATTAGAAACACCCCGATCACCACGTAGTTATTGAGTTTTCGTGCCTGTATCGATTTTGATTGCCCTTTTATATCAAATCGACCTTTGAAAATCAAACTGATGCCTACGGCCACCTAAAATTAGTATTTCTTGCATCAAATGTATTTCATATCAGGGAATATAATATCCTTCGTTTTATATACATTTCACTAATTAAGAAAGCAGTAAGAAAGCGGATGGGAACCCATCGTATTAAGAATCGAGCATTATAGCTTTACCTGAAGGAACAGACTGATAATGATTAAGCTGAGAATCAGATAAAACGTAGAGCTCTCCCGTTGGTATTCAATCAGGTATCTTAACTGGTTCGCGTTGGCGGTAATTAGGGCAACATCCATCATACCTTGGGCCACAGTCTTCTTCGCGGCATATGTGTTGGATTGTTTGTACGCTTCAGACTTTTTGTCCGTGGTATCGACAGAAGCAATATCTTTCACTACTATTTCTTCCACCGCTTCCGATTTGTCCCCTTTCTCACTCTCATCCATGACTTCGCCTTCGTGTTAATTTTAAATTTTTTTTCTTCTTTGTTACTTCGAACCCCTTTGTCCGAGATAGCAGCGTCGATGAACAAAATGACATTCACTCCTTAAGTTCGACGATGATCTGAGAATCGTGTAAATTTATACACTTCTATACTTTCTTTCAATCTGAAATGTTATTTGTTATTGAACCAAATGTGCTGCTCCACATTTATCAAGTCGAGCAACGGAAATGTAAACACATCGCGACAGAAACCAGAATTGAAATTCTATTGTTCTGCGATTCAAAGTAGCCGTAACAACAACAAGACATTATCACCTCGAGACAATTGACAGCATTTCTTCCGCATTCTGTTCTCTTAAATCATCGACGTCCGAAGTGAGGAACGCTTCGTTCAAATATGGGCTCTCGTGAAGGATAAATGATATAAATATTCTCAACGCAAGTTTCTTCTTCGCACGATTCTCTTAATACAGTTTTTGACAGAGTTAAAAGAATGAAAATTATCGATCGACTAATGTGGAGAAATAGAGGAAAGCTTGGAGAGTTGCATACTTACTTGAAAGGGAAGGCTTGAATAGTTCTACTTTGTCAGAGGCATCGCTCGAAGTGAAACACCAGTACAGAAACAACGATAACTATTATCGTGTTGTATCAAAAGTGAAGCCTGTCAGTGGTTTCAATGAAACCGCATGTGACGCTTGTCAGAAGGGAAATGCCTTAGGGCAACAGTGTTACATTCGATGTACGTATTCAATCTAGATACATCGTAATTGTGTTAGCTGCACAATTGTATCAGAGGGCTTATCTTTTCCTACGATAAAAAGAAGCAAGAAATCGGTAGCATTGATCGTGAACAATATCTATTGTTGCCGCTTGACAGATTAATCCATATTTTAGAAAAAAAAAATACAATTACAAAAACTATACAATTAAATGCTCTAGGGAGGAGGTTGCAGCAAGTTTCATTTCACTGATGTGCAATCAGCATGAAATATCTCTTCATCCGCGATATATAATTGCGTTGTTTGATCGTTTGATAATGGGGTAAAAAATAATGAAATAATGAAAGAAAACAATCTGTTAGTATGAAACTTTATCTAATAGGAAATAGATTAAATAAAAAAAGAAAAAGATAAATAAAAATAAAAATATTGTTATTAATAATAGTAATTAATTTCTAACAATTACCGAAACAAGGACAAAAAACTATTAATTGTATTTATTCAGTTACATTTATATTATGTAATTTATTTTGATATACATTATCTAAGAATGATACTGCGACCTTTCTCTCAAGTATGGCCGATAAACCTACAGACATTCCGTCACAAATATTTCTGAGCTGCGTTTCACGTTCGTCTTGTGAAGACAACAGTTTGTACAAGGAGAACGTGTTGTTTGTTCAGATAAGTCACTATGCAGGTAAGTCTCATATTTTCGTGATACGATAGATAAATGATTAGATTAAGTAAAGATTAAATAAATCGTGACTTTAGTAGTTACAACGAGTAGTATCTCTTGTATCATATATATAAGAAATGAAGATTCACAGCTTCATTAGCTGCATTTATGCGAAACAGGGTTGCGGAAAATTATGGGGAGGACGTTTCGTAGACAATATCGATTCAAGGTTTCATGATTTCAATGCATCAATTGGTATTGATAAACGAATGTATGCAGAGGATATAGAGGTCTGTATCTGAGGAAAAGAGAATTGTTCATTGTATGTTAAATAATAAACATTAAATTAGTCAACTTTATTTTTTAATACAATATTTTTAACATCAAGGACACAATTAAGAGAAAATATCCCTATTACATATGTTTTATCAAAACATTAATAACATCAAAGATATAAAAATTCAACAGGGAAGGAGAAGATATCTACGCATACTATTTAAATACTATTTCTAATAATTCTATAAAACAAAAAACCAGTAACACATTTATCGTCAATATTTTTTAACGTTGTATAAATTATTATCCTCAGGGTAGTATAGCATATGCAAAAGCAATAAGATCAGCCAATCTTCTCTTACACGAGGAATTGCAAGCTATAGTGAGTGGTCTTGAACAGGTATTAAAGAAAGTTCACTGGAAAAAAATAAAAAAAAAAAAAAATACAACGAAAGGCATATTGAAAAAAAAAGTAGCAATAAACAAATATTCGGCTGCAGGTGAAAGCTGAATGGGAGAAGGGCCAATTCACCATACATGTTGAAGACGAGGACATCCATAGTGCGAACGAGCGTCGACTTTCGGTACATGCATGATTAATTTCAACGCTTATTTCTATCAAACGGAAGTGGTTATATGCAATAATCATTCTTACTTGTTTGTCCTATTCATCATGAATATTTATAAAAATAAGATTGAATATGAATTGTCTAATTTCATCATAAATTGACAGGAATTAATTGGAGATGTCGCAAAGAAATTACATACTGGCAGGAGTCGGAATGATCAAACGATAACGGACATGAAATTATGGCTTCGGAGATCTATAGACGTGCTTTTGAAGAAAATAATGAAACTCATTCAGGCATAAAATTGCAAATTTTACATCGTTAAATTGAGAAATTATAATTCGAATTTACAGAAGATCGAGACGAGTATGTATCTACTTGTAGGTTCTCGTCGACCGAGCCGAGAATGACATCGAAATTATTATTCCTGGCTACACGCACTTACAACGTGCCCAGCCGATAAAATGGAGTCAATGGTTGCTTAGGTATGAACGGGAATAAATCCATATACGAATGTAGTGGCTATAAAAATGCTAATTAATTAAATCCATATATATACTATCATTTGCTACTACTATATATATTATTATGCTACAAAAATCGAATGAACCTTATAAAAAAAAAAAGAAACGCTTCATTGAGAAATAGAGCAATATTTTATATAGCCACCATATATTCTTAACTTGAAGTCTGAAATTAAATTTAAATCGCTCTGGTATAAAAGTATAAAAAAAAAAAATGAGCAAAGATATATCTTTGTTAATGATAGTTACGCGTGGTATGCGAAAACGGACGTGGAGAGATTGCAAGAGTTACGAAGAAGAGTAAATGTGTTGCCTCTGGGCAGTGGCGCCATAGCGGGGAATCCCTTCCAAATTGATCGACGTTTCTTGGCCAGCGAATTGAATTTCTCTGAAATAACAGAAAATAGCATGTACGCTGTAGGTGACAGAGATTTTGTCGGTAAGTTGTGAACACTTTTGTTTTTTACAATTTACAACTGACACGAAAAACAACATGCAAATG